AAAAAAAAAAAACGGAGAAAGGAAAGAAAAAAGAAAGAAAGGTAACCTAGAGGGAAAGAGGAAAGTGCATATACTCTAAATCTAGTTTCAATGAAGGTATCAGAAAGACTACATAGACAATATAGTGATTTTTTTTAGTGGCAAGCAGACATACATATAGCAAGACTATGAAATAAAGACATTCACTGTTTTTCACAGAAGGCCAGTGCGCTTAAAGATAATGCTGAGACAGATGGCCCTAAGATGATACCTCTGCTTCTATTTGGAGAACTATAGGTACATATAATATGAAGAAGCTGGTTTAATCATCAGATACCCAAGTAATATCTCCTGCCTCAATGTAAGCCAAAATCTGACATTTTTAAGATTGCTGTACTGCCTAAAATTCTATCAACCACTGGATTTACACAGGTGCAAATATATCAACTTCTTAAATGTATATTTTCTATCCAGCAATGGTCATTATCTAGTTTCAGACCAATCTCTACTGAGAAAAAAAAACTGGCTAAAACATAAAAAGCCTCAAATTTTAGGCTCAAAAAGTATTGAAGACTTGATGTACCTTAACTTGGAAAAGAAAGCCCAAAGAGATGAGTCCAACATTTGACATCTTTTGTCTCCTTCAGGCAGTTGCCAATAGAAAAGTAGTGTCTGAAATGCTGAGAGGTTGAGCAGAAGACAGCAGAAAGGCTGAAAAGCTGGGAAGAGATTTTGTATGACTTTTAACAGTAGAGTAACAAAAACTGGAATTTGAGGTCAGTTGAAGAGAAATCCTAATGAACACAAGATTTTCATTTAGGATACTAAAAGACTCTATTCTAAAATAAGTAGTAAATTGAAGAACATTAGTTCTCAAAGGACTGGAGTACAGCTTTGAGTTACTTACACCCCTAACTGAATTGAGGTGATTTTCTCCTAATGTAGATATTTGTTCCCTGTCAAAAACAAAGGAAATCTCTAGAGGAAAAATCACACCATATCCAGAGCCTCAAATCATCTCTAAAACTTCATATATGTAGTATCTGTCATTCAATCAAAAATAAACAGGCATATGAAATGATAAGAACTGACTTTGAAAACCTAAGAAGAGAGCATAACATAAACAGACACAAGAAGTTAATTGAAATTATCAAAAAATAAATTTAAAAACTGTGATTAGTACCTTCAAAAAACAAAAGTACAAGATAGCTAACTTAAATAGAGAATGGATAAATTTTTAAATAATCAAATATAAATTCCCATTAGATTATAAAATAAAATAATTAAAGTTAATAATTCAGTCAGCTAAAGGGAAGATTAATGAATTGGTACACAAGACATCTATATAACTTTCAAAAGTCACCAAAATTTTCTACTGTTAGAAGTCAGGACAGTGGGTACCTTTAGGAAGAAGAGTCCCCCCCTTCTTCCCATAGTGCTGGGAGAAGAAGAAGGGGGTTTCTGGGATGCTAATAGTGTTCCACTTTTGACTTATGTAGTATTCCCAGGGGTCTCTGTGATATGTTATCATGCTGTACTCTTATGTATCACTTATCAGGGATGCTTTACTATTTTATAAGTATTTACTTAATATAAAATTTTGTATTTATATTTTGTCTTTAATAAAAATTGTATTTATTAATATATTTACTGTTATAATAAGTTACATGGGCTAACTCTCAATCATACTTTAGTGCAAATTCATTGAACTGGTTTGTTTTTCTCCTAACATCCATTTGAGGTGAACTGTACTGAGTGAATGACAATTTTTACTAAGGACAAACAAGAATAAAATTTTGTGTTCTAAAATTAACACAAAATAAATAAACATATTTAGAATGTTGAGACATAATTTGTAAATTGACAATGACTTATAACAACTTCTTTGAATGGAAGACAATGTTAGAGCAACTCAAATGAAATGGGATAATTCAAGAATTAATAGTCAAAGCCATCCACAAGACACATTGATATTTAATATTTTCCATAACTTAGCCTAATTAAGTAAGAATTGTGCTGAAATCCATAATTTTAGCATCCAAAATTATGACTTATAGCTAAGATTCTCCAGTAGCACTTCTGGCTGCTCTAAAACTCTGCTAGAGCCAAGTTGATTGAATATACTTCTCAGGACCAGAGGGTTTCATTTTAGGGAAAGACTAAGCTCTTGCAAACCACCACTCCTACAGATAACAAAATGAGCTCCAGGCAAAACACAAGCAACAACAAACTACATTGGGGACTTCAGAGAATGAAGAACAGCCAGCAGTCTGTGGAGAAGTATGAAAACAGGGAGGAAGACCAGAGCAACCGTGGAGTTGCCCTTTCTATGGGCATTGCTTTAAGGAAAAGTCATGCAGCATGAGTGGGTGAAAACATGTTGAAAATGCACCAACTTTCTGACTTAAAGACACAGTGATGGGACCCATAGCAAGCCTCCAGTGTGAGAGGATAAATGCCAAGAAAGGTAGATTCGGAAAAAGGACCGCCCAACTTCTAGGTAAACTACTCTGCGTCTCTAAGGACTCCCACACTGAGCCAGAAAAGGCCAGATTATAGGCTTGCCAGGTAAAAATAAAAGAGCTGAAGGTTTATTCGACCTACTCCTTTCCACAGGTGAGAGAATTTTTAGCTAGCCTCTAACCAAGATAATTGTCTACTTTAGAAAATTAATACTTTTCATAAAATTATAACAATCCAGAATCTTCACAGCAAAACATTCATGTCATTCAGGACACAAGCCCAAATCACTCAATATAGGACAAGTAGAAAACCATGATCCATTCTCAAAGGAAGAACAATCAACAAAGTTCAATCCCAAGTTCACTCTGAATGTTGCAAGGTTATATACATTAGTGCCTCCTTAGCCATGGTTTTACTTTCCACGGTTTCAATGACCCTTAGTCAATTACAGCCCAAAAATACTAAATAGAAAATTCCTGAAATAAAAAATGCATACATTTTAAATTGTATACCATTCTGGGTACCATGATGTAATTTTACATAGTCCTTCTTCCTTCCACCAGGCATGGGAATCATCCCATTTTCTACTGTATCCACTGTGAATGTTACCCACTCCAAAGTCACTTTGTCTTGGTTATCAGATCATTTGAGGTGGTATTGCATTGCTTATGTTCAAGTAATCATTATTATATATTAATCCATTGCTATGTATCTGTACCTAGGCAATTTACCTCATGTCATCTCATCCCATGGGCATTGTATCATCTCACATCACGACAAGAAGAAGGCTATATACAGTGTAATAAGAAATTTTGAGAGACAGCACACTGACATAACTTTATTACAGTATATTTTTATAATTATTCTATTACATTATTAGTTATTATTATTAATTTCTTACTGTGTCTGATTTAGAAATTAAACTTTATCAGAGTTGGATGTGATAGTGCACACCAACTATAATGCCAGTTACTCAGGAGGCTAAGGCAAGTCTAGCCTAGAAAAAATAGCAAGTACCAATCTCAAAACAACAACAACAAAAACCCCTTTATCATAGGAACACATCTATAGCTAAATTCATAGAACATAACAGAAATATCAGTGGTTTCAGGTATCCACTCAGGGTCTTAGAATATTTCTCCTGCAGCTAAGGAAAATAAAAATAAAGACTATAAATTGACTTTTATAACTATGCTCCACATAATAAACAAAAATGCACTCACGAAATATTAAAAGAAATTCTTAACAAGGAAATCAAAAACTGCCAAAACATGGCAATTCTAGAACTGAAAATACAATATTCAAATTTTCTTTTAAATCACAGGAGGGGCTTGTTAGCAGAATACAGAATACGAAGACATTTTCAGATAAAAGATAAAAGAACCTGTTACCAGCAAGTCTGTACTTTAAAAAGTGCTAAATTAAGAAGTTTAGGCTGCAAGAAAATAGGGCTAAAAGGAAATGAATGGAAAGCATCAAAAATAGTAAATATCTGGGGAAATTTACTATTTTTTTTTCTATACACATACTATACAGGCACTGAGACATTTATAATTTCAGAATTTTAGGACTGCAGAGACACTAAGGTGATATATTTCCAGCACCTCATATTTTCAGAGGAAATGTCTGAGGCTCAGAAAGGTAGTGCTTAAGGCCATAAAAGCAAGCAGATGTCTCCAAGACAACCTGGCATATGGACTCTCCTTATGCTACTTTAATCCCTCAACACCAGCTCCAAGACACATTGCAGGTCCAGCACCCATCAGGAACTCTTCAGAGTCTCAACTTCTCTTTGCTTCTATTTCTTAATCTGTAAATGGGCTTTACAATGGCACCTTCCTGACAAGGTTCTCATGAGCGTTTAAAGTCAAAACAGAACCAGTTCTTTGAACACTGCCTTGAACACAGAAGATGCAATATTGCACCAGTGTTAACCATGTTAACACTGCCTGTCTGCATTTTCCAAAGCCTGCTACTTCTTCCTGCTGGCTTGTTTCAAGAAAAGAAACAAAGGGTCAAAGTAGAATACTGTTTATCTGTGCTCCATGAAGTTTAAATATGCTGTGTTTAAATTTTTTTTCAACTAAAAGTGTTTGTAAATTTTCCTGTGATTTCTTCTTAACCCATGAGTTGTTCAAAGATGGCAATGATAGACTGGAGGTTTGACTTGCTCTGGCTCCACTGACTATGGCCCCATCTTGGCCTGAGAACACCTGAGTGAGAATGTGAGAACAGCAAGAGCCACCATTTCCAGCTCTGGAATCCTTACCACAGGCAGGCAGCCATTAGCAAGAAAAGTAAAGTGCAGCTTTACTTTTGTCCAAGCCCAAGATAAATGCCAAAGTAAAAAAGAAAAAAAAAATGGAATTTAGAAAACACATTATTTCAGTAGTCCATCACTGATCACATAAGAAAGTTCAAGATTGCCACAAAAGCTGTCACTTTACTAAGCATTATTGTCTAAGGATCCATAAAATTTTCTGTATTCTTTATTTTTCAAGTCTGTTAATCATAGCACAATTCAAGCCCCAATGTGAATTGACCTAGACAGCAAGAATTTTAAAATAAAGCAAGGCTTGCTGGGCATGGTGGTGCATGCAGTAATTCCAGCTACTCTGGAAGACGAGGCAGGAGGATCACAAACTTGAGACCAGTCTGAGCAACTTAGCAAGACCCTGTCTCAAAATAAAAAAGTAAAAAGGACTGGAGATACTGTCCAGTGGTAGAGCCCTGGATTTAACCCCCAATACTGAAAAAATAATAATAACAAATCAAGTTTTATAACAAACTGTATAATGAGAGACTAATGTAATTTGTAATTAAGCTTGAAGGCAATGATATACTTACATTCCCTGTGAACCAAGTAAGCAGAATATGTAAAATAAAAGTGTATCAGGGGGATGGGCTGGCATTTCATTTTACAACAGATTTCTTAGACACAGAAGACCAGAACATTCATGAGATTGCTCCATAATTTTATTTAAAGTCAGAGTTGTTGCTGAAGAAACCAGTCTGCTTACCATTTCTTCAACATAAGGGTAAAGCATGTCTCCAAAGTATTCTGTAGCTTCAATTGGAAGTTGTGCTGGCAAATTGTCAATAGAACACATCAGAATCCCAGAGCCTTCAACACTAGGAAAAGAAATATGCTTTATTCAGAGTACAAAACGTTATTACTAAGCTCTAACTTCTCCTGATGTCTCCTCCACTATATTTGCTTCATTAGTTTTCATAATTCTGTACAAAATTATATAAGAATATAAACAAAACTTTTTCCTTCTTTAGCAACCCATCTCCCACTTAAATATATAGTACATGTGTATTGAAGTATTCAAATTTGCATGTGGTTTTTCTATCAAAAATTTTAACATGATTAAGCATCTCTTTCCAAATACACATGCGTTTATAAAGAAGTAAAACTGAGTTCTTCAGACTCATATATCAAGGTAAGAAAGAGATGTATTATTGTGCATCTTTCACCATCTAACTGCTTTAACAAACTTACCTATCATGAATAATATGCTGGTCAGCGTCATACATGCAAAAAGGATGCTCTATTGTAGTACACTCCGTCATGAAATCTATAGATCCCCCTGTGTCTGCTGAAATGTCACATATTGCCACAAGTCTGAAATCAATATCAGTACTTAGATAAGAGGATGGAATTCTGAAGCTTCCAATTATTAATAATGAATAACAATGAAAGATGCTTAGAACAATGTTCAATGTGGGTGCCAAATATTTTCCAGGCTCTTGGGTTCTTTTCCTTATAGTTCAGTCTTTAAGACACTGTGAGGATCTGAGATATAAGAATCATCCCAGTATACAGTTTAGTCTTTACAAGAAAAAAAATAAAGGAATGGAAGGAGAGAAGAAGAAAGGGAAGGAGTGAAAACCAAAATAAAATTGGAAAATACCTTCCCTAGAAAAATCATTGACAGCAGACTGGTTATAGTTAAACCAGTTAACCATCTCTAAATAACTGGTAAAGTTTCAATTATACTATTTCCACTTACTTAGTGCAATGGGCCTTCTACATCATGAATTCCACATCTGTAAATCCAAACAAGACTCAAAAAAATAATTGAAAAGAAAATTATACCTCTGCTCATCATGTACAAATATCTTTTTTTGTCATTATTCACCAAACAATTCAGTAAGCGATGATATGGTTCAGTCTTTAAGACACTGTGCTATTACATAGCAATTTAATTGTATTAGGTAGTATAAGTGATCTAGAGATGATTTAAGTGTACAGGAGATCTGCATAGGTTATATACAAGCATTCACTATTTATATAAGAGACTCAAGTGTCGGCAAATAGTGGTATTCTCAGAGTTCTAGAAAAACATTCTCTCTAGATACAAATGACTATACTATGTAATTTTACATGTAATTACATGGAAATCTAGGATTGTGAACAAAAGTTTCAATCCAATATTTGAAAGCCTTCAGAGATTGGTTGTAATTTTCCTATACAATCTCCAATTACCACATGCCTACATAAATATTATGGATAGACTGCTCCACTCAGCGTCTTAAATTATACATTAGCTCCATATTTACCAAGCTTCAATTGGAAGTTGTGCTGGCAAATTGTCAATAGAACACATTATTACTTGAAATTCTCCTTTTTCTCATTTCTCCCCAGTAAGGCTTTGCCAGGCCCAGTGTGTTAGCCACAAAACAGGTACTGTTAAGGACACTATGCTTACAAGGGCCTGGAGGGCTGCTGACCCTTTAAATGACTGTTAACACGACTTCAAAGTTGTTTTTTATTTCTTTGTTAGCTTCAGATAAGATCCGACTTCAAAGTTGTTTTTTATTTCTTTGTTAGCTTCAGATAAGATCCTTCAGACAAAATTCCAAGGAACCAGCCAAAATTGCCAAATCATGCTGACCCATGCATTTTAGGTGACCTAAACTTTGTTTGTTTTAATATTAGCTTCTCTGCCCAGAGGCATTCCCATTCTATCTTTTGAGCATGCGATGTAGGAAGAAAGCATGGCTTCAAACTGAGCTTGCCTCTAAATATGATGATGATAACTCTTTCCTATATGAATATGCATGAATTTCCAAAAAAAAAAAAAAGTCTCTTGCTTTCTTTGCTCAGAGAATTATTCCCAATGTTCTCCTTACTAACTGCAGGTAAGAAACTTTTCTTCACTCTCTATCTCCTGGTTGTGCTTGTGGGCTTTGCACCCATCAAAGGGAGAACTCTTGTGTTTGGTTACTAGTGCTCCCACTTTCTTTAAACACCCCTGATATTGTTGCTCCTACCATTCCCTAGCCATTTATTTGCCTGATATCAGCTGCATGCCTGAGAGCAGCAAATGTTGTTTTCCTCTTATCTATCCCTTAGTTTAGCAGAGTGCTAACAGACAAGTTGTTTGACAAATATTGGCTGATTGACTCATTCATTCAACATTTAATAATTATTTGAATGCCTATTCTATATCAGACGATGTACCCAGTGCTTGTGGCCATGATAAATGATACCTATCTTTAAGGAAATGAAGTTCTAATAGGAAAAAGAAAATTTTAAACACAAGAAAATAAATAATCATGAATTTAAGAGGGAAAAGGAAGGGGAAAAAATGAGAGAGATGGGAATGGGGACGCAAGAGAAGACTTCTGAGGAGGTTCCTCAAGATCCCTATGGAATTGCAGGAGTCAGAAGAAAGGTTTAAGGAGAGAGGGTTAACTGTGCCATATGTTGCTAAGAGGGCAAGTCAGTCATAAACAACCAGGTTCTCTGATATGTAGGAACATTATAAGTTTGACTTCCCTAACAATGTATGCTGCTACTAAAAACTTCCATTAGTGCTGAAGTAAAATTCTTACCTGTGAGGTAATGCAGGGCAGCCTTCAACAGCAGCAACTGAGGACTTGACTGGAGCCAAGAGACTTTGAGCATCGTGGCGGGTTAATAGGCGAGGAGTGTTTTGTTCCCAGTAGATTCCATTAATTAAACAAGTTGTATAAGGTGCAATCTGTAAAGTGAGTTCACATTCAACAAAACAGGAGATAGCCTATTTCAATACCGTGTGCTACCTATCAATAAAATCCCACAGAAATAATATTACTTCTAATGAATATAGCTACCTTTTGAAGCAAAAATAAAAATACCCTCACAGATTTCAAAATATAATTACCCTCATTATGGAAGAAAATATGAACATAATAAATACCCTAATAGGGTTGGGGTTGTGGCTCAGTGGTAGAGCCTGGTATGCATGAGGCACTGGGTTCAAACCCAGCACCACATAAAAAAACTAAATAAACAAAATAAAGGTATTGTGTTCATCTACAACTAAAAATATTTTTAAATAAATAAAAATAAATATACTAATGTTTTTGTCTATTGCATAGCAAAGAAAAGAAGAGAGAATCAAGTAACCTAGGATACCAGTAAGGTATGACCTAAATCATACTACTTCAACTTTACTGAGCTGTTTTTCTTAGATGGGGATAATGTACACACTATTCGTCAAAAGAATGCTATATGATCAAATCAGATAACTTCTGTAAGCTCCATGGAGAAATGTACTGCATAAACATAGTAACCAGGTCACTACCAGTCTCAGGAGACATCCAATCACCATATCTCCATGACAGGGCATATGAGTGGGGGGAAATTTACTAGATTCAAATTTTTTCAGCTCAAAATTAGTTTCATACATTTTTGCATGAAACTTAAGCCTCTCATTCTGAGGGTAAACAAATATAACATCAGTCCATGCTGTACTACTTAAATTTCATACCAGAATCAAACATTTTAAATTATGTAGAGCATTCCTTTTCACAATGTACATATACATTTTTAGTGTGCTTAATTTTTCATTTGTTAGTTTATTTTGAAGAGGATTTTGAATGACTAATAACTATAAAACACACAAATAAATTTTGTTTTTTAAGCTGGGTGTGGTAGTGCATGCCTTTAATTCCAGCAACTCAGGAGGCTGAGGCAGTAAGATTGCAAGTTCAAGGCCAATCTCAGCAACTTAGTGAGGCTCTGTCTCAAAATTTAAAAAAAGGGTTTGGGATGTGACTCAGTGGTTAAGCACTTCTGGGTTCAATCCCCATACCAAAAATGAATAGATAAATAAATAAATAGTGTTTTTTAGAAGATGAGACCAGTGTGTTCCTATAAGAAGTACTTGTTGCATAAATAGCTCTCTTGTACAAGATTATGTAGCCACACTATCTCCCCCTGACCCCTTGTAAGCATCACATGCATTTTAAGATGACTGGCTACTATGGTTTGGATGTAGAATGTCCCTGAAGTTAAAAGTTTATTTTCAGCCCATGGCACTAGTTGGAGGGGAACAGAACTTTTTAGAGGTAGAGCCTGGTCTTCAGGTCCCTGGGACTGTGCCCTCAAAGGGAATATGAAGACTTTGGTGTCTTCTGCCTTCTCTCTCTCTCTCTTTCTTTTCCAATTCGAGATGTTAGTGCTCACTCTGACATGTGTTTCTACCATTGTCTCCTGTCATTTGTCCTCACCTGAAGCCAAAGCAATTAGGGTTACCCTATCTTGGGCTTAAACCATTAAAATTGTGAGCCAAATAAATCTTTCCTCTTTTAAAGTAAGTCGACTCAAGTATTTTTTGTAGTAATATAAAGCTAACTAATACCAAGAAAAAGAAGGAGGAGGAGGAGAGGGGAGGAGGAGGAGGAGGAGAGAGAAAGAAAAGAAAGAAAAAAGGATACTGTGAGTAGCAAATGTTGTTATAACTATACCTAGATACGTTTAGGAAGCTCTGGGACTGATTGACTGACAGTGATTGAAAGAGCTTGGAAGAGCAGGCTAGAAAAAGTCTAGAATACTCCAATTGGAGCATTATGGGGCCATGGTGGCTTCCACTGAGATTTCAAAGGAAAGCCTGGGAAAACAGACAAAAGTTTCATGTAGGGCTGAAGTCTCTGTGGGGACTTTTGATAAGATGATGCTTACTGGAATTGTGGTAATGGAGCCAAAGAGAGGACCCCAGAATAATAGAGCAACCCAAAATGTGCAACAGCTGCTAGGGAAAGCTATGAGCAGCATGCCACCTAAGCCATGGAGAGCTGCACACATCAGTGTGCAGTCCATGAATGCAGCCATGTGGGCCAACAAAGCCGGCTGGGTAGAGCTGCCCAAGGCCTCAGGGGCCCAACTCAGGCCCCAGTGTGCCTGCCATGGTGGACTTTGGAGCTTTAGGATTTAATGTCTGCCTGCTGGATTTCACTTACTTTGGGTCAATTATCTCTTTTCACTTGCCTGTTGCCTGCTTTTGGAATAGAAGTTATACTCTGTGCCTATCCTGCCATTTTATCTTGGAAATATGTAACTGGAGGAGTTTGCCTTTTCTCCCAGATGAGACTCAGGATCTTTGAATTAATGCTGGCTGAGTTAAGCCTCTGGAACCACTGGGGATGGAATGCTTTATGTTGAATGTGAGGACATGAGTTTGAGCAGACCAGAGATAAAATGCTATGGTTTAAACATGGTTTGTTCCTCTGAACTCATGCAGAAATGTGACCCCCCAGTGTTTTATATTAATGCTTTTTAGAGAGTGGAAACTGAATCCATCCATGGTGTTTATAGGTGGAGCTTTTAGCAATTGAGTAAATTGGATTAGGCCAACAGGGTGAAGCCCCCCAAATTAAATCCTGGTGGTATTATAGGAGAGGGAAAGCGGCTGCATGGAGAGTGGGACAGATGCCCTCCCACCACAACATGATATAGTCAAGGGGGGACCACCACCAGAGTATAATCCATGCTGATTGGTCTGCCAGACTACAAATCTGTGCTAAATAAACCACTTTTCTTTATAAAATTACTCTGTCCTTGGTGTTTTTTAAATAGCAATGGAAAGCTAATACACCAGCTGAGTTTATGATTGCAATTTGTGGCCAGAGAAAGGATAAACCCATGTTAGATCAAACCTCATAGACATTGTACTTTGCCAAAAGCACTAACTAATTCAGTATTATACAGAATCAACAATCCATAGAAAATGGTTTAGAGCTTTTGGGCACAGGCAGATCCAATGTAGAAACAGATATCAAAGCAAAGAACATACCCACAGAAACCCCAAAACCACTAAGGAAGGGCCACTCCAAATACCAGTAAAAGCAAGCAACTCCTATGACCAACTCATGATTCACAAAGGACTCCAAGCAAGAGATATGAAGAAGTGAAAACCCATGTACACACTTATAATTTCTCTCCTTGAAGAGAGACTAACTACAGTGCTCTCTCCATAAGCAGTGACTCCCAAGCTGAATGTGATACTCACATCAGTATTAAAACGACTTATGTACCGCTCAGGATGTTTGTCATACTCTACAGGGTCATACACACCATCTGTTTTCCTGACAAGATGATGATGTCGACTTAACACCGTCCCATACACTTTCCTGAGGTCTTGCAGAGGAAAAAGAAATTAACAAACTGGGTGACACATGATAACGATGCATGGTGACAAAACACTATAACACAGATACTGTAAAATGGTACAGACAGTCTTCCCCCTCCCCTTACCTCCAGTTTGGGAAACTTCTTTTAATTCATGGGGCTCCACATATTCACAGGGCAGTTCATTAAAGACTTCTTGGGCTCCCTGTAAAAAAAAATGTTTCAAGTAAACATCTAAAAATCAATTTTAAAAAAGAGCCAAAGCAGTTTCCGGTAAAGATTCCAATTGTTTTCCCCACAATTTTATAACTGAACTTGCCTGGCCCTGCAACCAGAGCTGCAGCATAGAAGTGCAGATGAGCTTCTTGCACACAGCCTGAAAACCAGCTTTATTCCAGTTTTTAAAAGCATGCATTAGAAGGGGCTTTAGACTTTTTTTTTTTACTAAAGTTACTCAGAAAAGCAACAATAGTGTTTAGAAATATAGATACAATACAATAAATCTATTTCTTTTTTTATTCATTGCAGAAGAAAAAATCAAATGGCTACCTCACAATATAATAGTAGCAGAGATGTCCTCTTTGTAAGATATTTTCATTAAAGGTCTATTTTTCAATTATAAGTTTCTGAGGGAGATTACAAATGCAAAACCACCTCAAGAGGAAGTATTAAATACTTTCTTGAATTACTCTAATATCTTATTGGCAAAACTCCAAGTAGTCTTGAAAAATGTATATTCTGGAGTTACTTCCAAACTTTTGGACATGTCAGCAATGAAGGAAAAATAAATTACCCTAAGAACAATGTTACATACTTCACAATTAGTATCTCAATAAGACAGAAACAGAAAGGAAGAAAGGGAGGGGGAAATGAAGGAGGAGAAAGAAAGGAGAGAAAGAGAAAGAAAGAGTATTTCAAACCTCTGATAGCGCAGAATTCACTAAAAGCAAAGAAAATGTTTGGACCATTATTGTTCTTTGCTATTAGAAAAATTTGTAGGTAATTAAAATACTGAAGATAGAATGTCCATTCTCTATTGGAAATAGGCACAGAATGGCCCAACATCATGTCTCCAATTGCTTTACAGAAGGAAGACACGTGAAATTTACCTTGGATACATTACCAGTCCCTGTGAATACAAATGTTAAGGGCCCTATCGACTTTGGCATTAAACCCAGAGATATTTCATAGCCAGCATCGCGGACAGCTTGCACAGCCTGGCTGCTATTCCTGTAGTTATGAGCCATGCCAAGATGCTGAAAGCAAGCACACACGAATCAAGTTAGTCTAGTAGCTGACATATTTTTCTATTCTTAAAGTGTTATGTATGCTTTCAAAAAAAAAATAAACAAAAGAAATATCTCTCACCATAAAAGGTGTGTGATGTCCCAAAGCAAGGAGCCTTAAACCCATTCCATGTAAAATGTTGATCATCCCTATTGCAGAGTCAGACCAACAGAAAGACAATTAATTGAGTGACGCTGAATATAAATGTTCAAAATAAATTCTACTCATAGCATTAATAAAGAGAAAGGACACATTTTTCTCTGTGCCCATTTGTCCATGTGCTCAGTGCCTGGGGAAGCATAAACATAGTAGCTCAGATTCAGAAGGGAGCTCAGTAGATCTTATCCATTTCTTCTGCTTTCTGCCATCCAATGTCCTAACCCCAGCTGCATCATTTATCCCTTCTACTGTTGATCCTGATAAAGTGGAGTATCCTCTTCTCACCTAGAGTTAATCTCTCCTTGACGAAAGATCCCATCCCTTCCCTTCTTCCCAAGGAATTTACTCTAGAACCACTCCCTTATCTTGAACCACTACCTATTCCTCTCTACCAGTCTATTCATTTTTAAAAATTTATGCTTTTTATTTATATATAACACCAAGATATGCCCTGAAATAATCACAAAAGCATGAAACCCAACCCACTCCAATTTAGTCCCCAGTGTTCTCCCCCACCTCCACTTATCCTTAAGCACCCTCCCTCCACTCCATCCATCCTTCTTCAAACCATTTACAGTTTGCTTTTTTTGTTCTTGTTATCAAATTCATGTCCTGTGGACACACTCAATGCCAGGACCCACCACACTGTGTCCTTGCATACTCATAAGATAGTTTGATCATATTCAATCTACTCTTCTTCCCTTTTCCTGTCCCTTCTTCCTCCTCCTCAATCCCCTTTGTCTACTCCACTAATCTTTCCTCTATTTTGATGAATTCCCTCTCTACTGGTTCACTCTTATCAACATGTAAACATGCTCCCATCTCTCCCATACCAAAATCAAAGTCCCCATTGACCCTAGGGCTCCCACCAGCTGTTTAAATCACTAAATTTGGTAGGCACTTTTCAGATCTCTCCACTTCCTTGCCAGAAGTATTTGGCATTGTAGACCTCCTCTTCAGTCAAAAACTCACTCTCTCTCTCTCTCTCTCTCTCTCTCTCTCTCTCTCTCTCTCTTTCTTTTCAGCATTCCTACTTGAAATGCTTCAGCCTGCTATTTTGTGGGCGCTTCTTTCTATGCCCATCTTGTCACCCTCAGGATTACATCCTGGGCTCCTCAATAACTATGTTTTCTTCATAAATCTTCTCATCCAGTCCTAAACTTCAAGTACTATCTACTTATCTTATCCAAGTGGATGACCCCAAGTCTGTAACCTCCAACGAGAATTTTTCTTTTTAATTTCTCACCTAGCCAGACATATTTTGTATGTCTCCATTTGGAAATCCTTCAGACACCTAAAATTCAGCAGGCTTGTAGCAAAGATCTTAGCATCCATTCCCCCTTCTTTTTAGGGCTAGAACTTTCCCTGCACCACTCCCCAACACACACATATGCACTCACATTCCTACCAAGTTTTCTTCCACCTTTTTTTCTGAAGCCAACTTTTAAAGAAGTAATCTCTACACAATAAAATGCACCAAGTGTATAGTTTAATAATTATTAACAAATATGCTCAACTGTGTTATCACCATAATCAAGGCCCTATTGCTCTTTCTGACTGTATGCATTAGGTTTTTCTACTGCTTCATATCAATGAAAAAATAAGCACATACTCTTGTTGGGTGTCTGCTTTCCCTTGGCATAATAGTTTGAGATCTGTAACAGTATTTTGTTTCTCGTTATTGCTGAAGTTTTATGTATTATATAATTATTAATGTATTAATCCATTGTCTCTTGACAGACATTTGTGTTATTTTTAGCCTATTCTGGATGGTATCCATATGTAAAAATTATTTGTATAAAATGCTGCATTTCTCTTCATAAACACCTACATGTAGAATTTACTTTGTACACTGATATTCAAGTTTGTTGTTTT